CTCTCCGAGGTTGAGCGAGTTCGCCGAGGGTTGGCAATCGACAAGCAGTGCACGGCGTCACTTCTAGAACTTTCTCTTCTACATGAAAATTCTCTTCAGGTGATCGATGCTGCCGATGTTCTTGCCAATAAATGAATCACTGGCTTCAAAACTCGTCCGTCCCCGAACATCACCGACAGCATGTGCTAAGGAGGGCTTTCGACAGTGCTTCTTTGGCAATGAATACAACCTCGATTTCCTAACATTTAGTGAAGTCATGATGACAGCTGAAAGATGAAAAGTGATGTTCTTCCTTTTTTTCTAAAATGGTAACACCTTTTCAAATAGAACTGTGATACTCTGGTGCTCTCATGTGTATTTATTGATTTATTTTTATTGTGCAATATATGATCTAGATTTTTTGTAAAAGAGCTTGCGATTGCAGATGTAGCATATCTCACCAGTAACTCTCTCAATGACTCCTTATTTCACATTTTAGTCGAACTCGCTAGCGTACGTACTATAAAACAGGTATTGATTTTACGCGTGTGAAATCAACATCTATCTCTTACATTATGCGTGGATTGAATTCTTAGAAAAAGAGATCTTTCATGTGATACTTCTGCATTCTCGAGCTCTATCGCATTTACCGCATCTTCACTGCACGTTGAATCTCGCTATTGATCTCAGAGTTTGCTGTTGTAACCATATATTACCTTATTCGTGCCAATTTGCCAAAAATTTATATTTATGTCTTAGGAACCGCTAGAAGTCTCTTCGACGGTCTTCATAGCAACTAGGAATTTTGACGCAGGGATGGACGCCGTAAAATAATATGAGAAATTAAAATATGACCATGTTTTGATTATCAGAAGTGGAGAGTTAGAGCACAGTAGGGATACCAAGGGGCACTGGCCCGGCGCTGTACTGCCAGCTTTTAGTGAAAACCTACTATTCCCATTCCTTCGTACATTTGACCGTTCCCAACCGTCCGCATTTCGCGCATTCTGCTCCCGCAAAAAAATCGCTTTCCTTTTTCCCCTAGACCCGATGCCACTTCACTGACGACAGCGACGGCAGTTACG